CCGCAGCCCTCGGCAAGGCCCTGCTTCCCGCCCAGTCCCTCTGGATTCCCTAACCTCAAGGGCACAGGTTAGGCCTCTGGGCCTATCACTACCTGCCTACCTCCAGCTTCCAGAGGATGCGCTAAAGTAGCGTTATTCTTGCTTATCTAAGGTTCGCCCCATTACTCAGGCTTTACTCAGAAAAATGGAGAAATTCACTCTTAAGCCTCCAAACCTATGATTTTCTGGTATTCTGAAATACTTATAGACCAGAGTGTGAGGGTCCAAGGGATCTGTGAAAACTGTCCTCACAGCTTTCTGTCATCAGCAGCCTCTTCAGTTTACATACCACAGCACCTACCTTTAAAAACAGGTACTTTGATAAAAAATCCAGCGGGGCGTGATGGCGCATGCCTTTAGTCCCAGCACTCCAGAGGCAGGCGGACCTCTTGTGAGTTCAAGGCCACCCTGGTCTACATAGTGAGTTCCAGGACAGCTGGGGCTACAGAGGGACCCTGTCTCAAAAAGACAGCTTTCGTAGCTGTCTAGATACTCCAAGTCAGTGCTGCATTCTCTTGCCTAAAAACTCCCACTGGTTTCTCTATTTTTTAAAAAAAATTTTATTATTATTTGGTCTTTTTGAAACAGGGACTCCCAGCTGGCCTGGAACTCATTATGTAGACCAGGCTGGCCTTGAACTCACAGAGATCTGCCTGCCTCTGCCTCCCAAGTGCTGGGACTACAGGCCTGCGCCACCACGCCTGGCCTATTTATCATTTTTATATTTATGTGTGTATTGCCTGCATGTAGGTAAGTGCACCCGTGTCGTGCAATGCCGGAGGACAGAAGAGGCTGTCAGATTGCCGGGACTGGAGTTACAGTTGTTAGCTGCCATGTGGGTACTGGGATTCAAACCCGGGTCTTCTGCAAGAACAGACAGTGTTCTTAACCACTGAGCCATTTCTCCAGCCCCAGGCTTCTCTATTTATAAGAAAATCTTGGGGCTGGAGAGAGATGGCTCAGCGGTTAAGAGCACTGGTTGCTCTTGTAGAGGACTCAAGTTCAAATCCCAGCTAACAACTTTCCAGAACTCCAGTTCTCAGGTATCGGATGCCTTCTTCTGACCTCCTCCAGCACTGCACAACACAGGTGCACTAACATGCATGCAGGCAATATACTCACACACATAAATTTTTTTAAAAAATCAGAGTAGTTTTAATACCGTTTACAGCACTATAGTCTCCATGTTGTTCATTATCTATGTTATGAATCTGCTACTTTGTATTCTCTGCCCTAAGGCTGCCCTTTTCATTACCCACATCACCCCCTACCCCTGGTAACCACTTTTTAATTCTCTTATCACTTTGCATTTTCTTTTTTTCCTTCAGTGTGAGATCATGTACTATTTCTTCCTGAGCCTGACTTATTTCACTGAGCATAATTAATGTCCCAAGTAGAGCCATTTCCATTTTCATGAGAAAAAAATCTTGTTAAAGACTGTTTTGGATGTGATATGACTTCAAAAGCACAAGCAACAAAACCAAAAATCCACAAAAACGAAAAACCATATGCATAGACGATACCTCCGCACAGGAAAGAAAATAATCAATGGAGTGGAGGGATAACCCAGGGGATGTGACAAATATTACCAAAACATAATTTTGATAAGGGATCAATATCTAACATCAATAGGAAATCCAAACAACTTGCAAAAAAACAAAAAACAAAAAACAAAAAAACAACCAATGAAAAACTGGGCAAAGGGGGTCTGGAGAGATGGCTCCACAATTAAGAGCACTGGCTGCTCTTACACAAGTCCCAGTACTCACATGGTGGCTAACAACCTTCCAGAAATCTAGTTCCAGGGGATCTAATGCCTTATTCTGGCCTCTACAGGCATTGTGAGACAGGTGCACCTATATACACATAGTCAAAACACACATAAAATTAAAAAAAAATTTTAAGAGCAAATGACCCAAATAAACATCAGAAGACAAATGGGCTGGCAAGATGAGTCAGTGGGCAAAAGCGCTTACCACAACCACCTCAGTTTGCTCCCGACTCCACATGTTGGAGGCTGTTGTCTGTAAGTTGTCCTCTGACCCCTAAACACTCACTGTATGTAGCTCATGTACACACGTACACACATGTTCAACAATACTAATCACCAAAGAAATGCAATTTAAAACCTTAAAACGCATGGAGAGACAGGTGCAGTGTATCATTCTGTTAATACCAGCAGTGGGGAGACAGAGGAAAGAGGATCATGACTTCAAGGCCAGGGCTACAAGGCTAGAGCCTATCTCAAAAACCAGTAAGTAGACAGCACAACAAAACCATAATGAGATGTCACATCAATCCTGTAAGTCCTTTCCCCAAAACACAGCATTGGCAGGGATGTGCAGAAAATGAACCCAGGGCTGGAGAGATGGCTCAGCAGTTAAGAGCACTAGCTTCTAACAACCATTTGTAGCTCCAGTTCCAGGGGATCTGACACCCTCTTCTGACATCTGCGGACACTGCATGACATGGGTGCACTTATACACATAGAGGAAATACACTCATGCACATCAAAAAATAATTTTAAAAAATTTAAAAAGAACCCTTGTGTCTGTTTGGTGAGAATTTAAATTAGTGCATCCACTAAGGCAAACAAAATTGAAGTTTTTCAAAAAATAAATAAATAAAAACAGAGCTACTACATGATGCTGTAGATTCACTTATAGGTATATATCGAAATGAAATAAACTGATAAATTTAGTTTTTTCCACATCCATATTCATTACAGCACTACTCACAAGAAACAAAAAAAAAATGAAATCCTTTTAAGTATCTTTCAATGGAACAAGAAAAAGTGATGAATACATAATGAAATACTATACATCCATAAAAGGAAAGCCTGTTATTGTAGAAGTATGGATGCCCCATGAGGACATTATGCTAAATGAAATAAGCCAGGCACAAAAAAATGAATGCTCCATGATCTAACATAGATGCAGAATATAAGGTGGTTGTACTAAAAAGTAATGGTTGGCAGGACCCAAGGAGGAAGTTATCAAAGGGTATCAAATTTCATTTGGACTAAGTTCTGTACATTTGTATAGCACAGGGATTATTAATCATGCATATTTGCAAACTGCTCAGAGAATAGACTTTACATTTTCTCACCACAGAGAAATGTTACATATGTTATCACCATACACTTTATGAGAAAGCATCAAGTTGTACTCCATAAATATGTACAATAAGTAATCCTTTTTGCTTATGCTAATTGAACTTATTTGAATATCATCTTGATCATGGAATCAATAATATAAAGCTGTAATTTGAATCCAGAAGCTCTGTCTCTAAATTTTCTGAAAAATATTTAGTTTCTTTTAATTCCAGCACTGGGGAGGCAGAGGCAGGTAGATCTCTGTGGGTTCAAGATCAGCCTGGTCTACATTGTGAGCTCTAGACTAGTTGGGACTACAGGGAGATCCTGTCTCTAAAGGACCAAAACAACAACAAGAACAATGAAATTTAGTTTCTGGTGTTTCCAGCACCCACACGGCAGCTAATGACCATCTGTAATTTCAGTTCCAGGGGATCTGACACCCTCTCCTGGCTTCCACAGGTTTTGCATACATATAGTGCACTTACATACATGCAGGCAAACACATACACATAAAAATAAAAAATTCCCAGTGCATTGTATATATTTATAAACATATGTATGCATATGTAACAATAATACTGAAAAAAGGATAAGAAATTGAGAAGCAGTAGGGAACATGGGAGGAGGTGGTGGGAAGCTGGGAGGGATGGACATAATGCAAACACAATAATACTATATAAAATTCTCAAAAATAAAAATAATTTAAAAAATGTTAAAGTATTTAATTTCTGACCTTCCACAGAAAAGTCTGTCAATTACAAATCTAAACCACAGGACTACAGTTTATCTTATATAGACTATATATACCTAGAAGAAAGTATAAAGTGTTGTGGGGGGGTGGCACATGCCTTTAATAACAGCACTTGGGAGGTAGAAGCAGGCAGATCTCTGTGAATTCCAGGTCAATTAGGGCTACATAGTGAGACTCTATGTTATATATATATATATA